ACTAGTCGAATTTTAACAGGTTTTACCGGGTGCCGTGATACGCTCAAAACGTGCACATCGCACGCTGACGGTCTTTCTTGCAGCGTTGTAGGGCAGCAAGCACTTCCCGCGTCGCTTCTTGGTTTTTCGAGGCGATATCGATGGGAAGCAGCAGCGATTCAGCGTCGTGCTTTTATATTTCATGTTTTGAACTCATGCGCAAATGGGTCGCGTTGTTCCGTGGATGGTTTATGTGCAGCGAGCCGGAAGAGACGTGTAAATTTTCGAATTTTAGAAACACAAATAATGTCGATCGACGCTTCTTCCATAAACGTCAAGTGGGATCATCTGGGCGTCTTCAGACGTTTCCAAATTCCGTTGACAGATGCATCGGGACGTGATATGTATGCACCGGAACGTGACATCTACAAGGAGCTGCTTGCAAAAATCAACATCTCAGTGCCCGATTTTAATGGAAAATTAGGCTGGAAAGGTAACCTTGCATGATTTTTTCAGCAACTTTTTCTTCTCGGGACAAGTGGCAGTTTTAAGGGAGGGCGGGGAGTGGAGGGGGGAGAGGGGGAGAAGGCGCTACTCCATCCCCGTCTCGCTGTGTCATAGGGCCTTAGGATGAAGTTGCCGATTTCCTCCAGGGCGATTTATCAACCAGCTCAAGGACTTCATTTCCTCGAATTAGCCATTAGGGTGGACAGGATGGGGAGGAGGCATTAGGGTTAACAGGAAGGGGAAGGGGGCAGATGGCCAGGGATAAAGCAACAGATCAAGCAAAATCTCACCCGTCATTTCGCAGTCGAACAAAATACCCTTCGACTGGCTGGGCCTGCGCTCTTGCCAGTATGTCTGAGCCAGGCAATTCATAGGATAGCTTGTACCTTAGGGAGTGCATTTCTGCTTAGATATTTAGACTGAGGTCAAATTATGGCCCTGGGTTCCTGTCTTACCTTCAGACACCTTTCTTCGCGTAAAAATGCGTCTGGGACGACATCCGGGTATTTCCTTTTCTGT